AGTGACTGGGATAATTGGGATGGGAGTGTCAGAGACAGTGTGATTGGCACAGGACAGAGCGGAGTTTAGGGCTGTTGTACATAGGGTCGCTATGGCACATAACACAACAACATGAGTCACACATGACAGCACCTATCAACAGTGACATCATGATATTGCCTGTTGGATTGGTCTGCTAGTGAAGATGTTTGTTTTCTTGACGTTGAGACACAATCCATACTGATGACAGCATTCTTGGTATCCTGCCACCGTTCTTCAGGTCTTCCTCCCTGTCAGAGAGCTGGGGGGTTACCGTCCCTGAGCCTAAGTCCCTATTCCCTCTGCCCACGTCTGCTTTCAGGGCACAGCGCAGGGGTGGGGAGCGATGGACAGTGACTGGGTGGTCGTACCAGGTCTCATGGTAACCTGCAAAGCCACTGCTGTGGGACACCCACCCTGTGGACAGTCCTGGCTGACTGCCCTCACCCGGCACTGGCCCATGGCCTGTTTCTGGGGCCCAGGAAGACATTAGGCCCTGGCATTCATGGTTTGTGGAAATTGGGAGTAAGGAGCCTCGTCCCCTGAGAGGGTCCCATGTAGGGTCCCTGTGGGTTGGAGTGGATGAGACCCTGGTATCCTGGTTTGTAAAGCCTAGTCCAGGTCCTTGACTGGGGGGGTACCCAGCAGCAGAGTGGGGCCAGAGATCACAGCAGTGCGAGGCCCATTACAGGTGGCCAGTGGTGGCTCTGGTGGGGGCAGAGCTGGACCTTTGTCCCCTGCAGTGAACCAAGGCTGGTCTGGCAGGCCCTCCCCCTGTTCTCCTGAGCCCCTCATCCCAGGAGAGCCAGAAGCTGGGGCAGAGGGAGACTTGGGGGCCGGGGACTGAGACATCTGGAAGGCAGCTAGCTACACGGGTGTGTGGAGGGAAGGAGAGGGCAGGGGTGGGATTCGATGAGGCTCCTGGCAGGCTCCCATGCTGACCACACTGCTGTTTCTAACAGAGACGCCCTCGACGCACTGGGCCTCAAACGCTACTGCTGCCGCCGCATGCTGCTGGCCCACGTGGACCTCATTGAGAAGCTGCTCAACTATGCTCCCCTGGAGAAGTGACCACCCTGGAGAAGTGACCGTGGCTGTGCCTCCCGGGCTGGGGCTCCAAGTAGGCCGGGCCTGGCCCAGCCCGTCGCCTCGGCCACTGCACCTCTGCTGACCCACAGACATCTGCGGGCCGGGGATACAGATCGAGGCAATGGTGGAATAAAGCTTTTGTTGAATGACATGGGGTCTTGTGCCTGAGCTGACCATGGTGGTGGGTGGCCTCCAGAGGCACTGGCAATGCTTCTCAGGGACACTCACACCTATACACAGTGGTCCCTGTGGCACCGCTCAGGCTGGACACGAGCTGTCACCTGCACAGCGCTCAGCAGGCCAGAGGAGATAGTGAGAGGCGCATGAGATGGGACTGTGGGAGGGCCCCTGGGGGTCCGGCAGCCTCCCAGCCTGTCTCCTCCGTGCTGTGCCTCCACCAAGGCCCACCCGGCAGCACGGCATCGCGTCCACCCTGGGCCCATCTGCTGGATGACAGGCATCTCTGAGACCACAGGAGGGTCAAGGACACGCCTGCCTGGCTCCGCTAGGCCCCAGCCCTGCCTCTGTTCTGCCACCCCACCAGTTCCTGTCCTAGGAACACCTGTGCTAGGAACACGCTGGCTGGTTCTTCCCACTCGGGGCCTTGCTTAATCTGCACCACTAGGCGTCCTCGGTCACTGTCTCACCCCTGGACCACAGCCCACACCTCCCCCACGTCACAGCGTCAGGAGCCAGCACTCTAACTAGAGCAGTCGCTCGAGAAGGTTTATTGAGCTGTGGGGTTCACGAGTGGGGCTGGATCGCCCCACCAGTGAGGCACACACCGCAGTGTGAAGAGCATCTTGCAGGCACGATGGTGTGGGGGTGGACAGGGAGCAAGGTGGGCGTGTGGGGACGGGGAGGGGTGTATGGCCACAGAAGCTTCTCCGACGGGAGGTTCCCCAGTGACCCTCAGCACTTCTGTGGGCCAGCTTTGTGCAACAGCCAGCAGGTGGGGGGTCCCATGAACACTGCTCCAGTTAACCTATGTCCAGTCTTTGGACACATGACCACAGAGCTCCTGGGACCCCCACAAAGGAAGAAGCCTGTCAGAGCCCAGTACACGCAGGTAGGAGCCCCACCTCCCCCAGAGGAAACACTGCCGGGCAGGGGTCTTTCCCAGGCCTGGATGTTGGTGTGTAGCAAAGACACTGAAGGCAGCAGGCACGAGAGACCACTCTGGCCATGGAGTGAGGGACACGGGCAGCGGACTGGCCGGACTCCCAGTCTCAGTAGTCTTAGCTCAGTAGTGTCTGCGCTGCAGTCCTGGCAGCGTGGGGCTGGGCAGCTCAGTAGTGTTCCAGCTTCAGGCTCTTGTACAGACAGCAGGTGAAGATCATTCCAAAGACCTGTGGGCAGGGGCGCGGGGCCCACCACACACGCGGGGGTGAGAGGGACGCAGGGCCCACCACACACGCGGGGGTGAGGGGCCCACCACACACGCGGGGGTGAGAGGGACGCAGGGCCCACCACACACGCGGGGGTGAGGGGCCCACCACACACGCGGGGGGTGAGGGGCGCGGGGCCCACCACACACGCGGGGGCCCACCACACACCACAGGGTGAGGGGCCCACCACACACCACACACGCGGGGGGTGAGGGGCCCACCACACACGTGGGGGTGAGGGGCGCAGGGCCCACCACACACGGGGTGAGAGGGGCGCGGGGCCCACCACACACGGGGGTGAGAGGGGCGCGGGGCCCACCACACACGGGGTGAGAGGGACGCGGGGCCCACCACACACACGGGGGTGAGGGGTACAGGGCCCACACACGCGGGGGTGAGGGGCGTGGGGCCCACCACACACACGGGGGTGAGGGGCCCACCACTGCCAGCATGATAGGAAGCCTGGAGCTCAGCGTGCACAAGATGCCCACTCACACATACCTGCACGCAGGCGATGCCAATGCCCACAGCCCCAATGACTCGCAGGTGCTCCTGGATGAAGGTCTCCAGCTTGGTAATGCAGCCACCCTGGGGTAGGGGTGGGACACTGAGCAGGTCCACCCTTAGGACCAGACTGGCTGCCCTGTGGCCACAGCCCCAGCACCTCGAGGTTCCTTCAGGAGGTCAGCTCCCCTAGCACTGACCTCCACCTTGTAGATGTTGGAGGCGTGGTCTCGCTGGCCACAGCCATCCACCACTGTCTTGCAACAGCTGTCCGGGACCACACGTCTGCCTGCCTCTCCAGAGTGGATCCACTCACTGTCTCGCCAGTCCTTGGAATTGTTG